AGGCTAACACTAGTCAAGCTAACAGCAGACAGCTTAATAACATTCAAGCTAACAGCAGACAGCTTAATAACATTCAAGCTAACAGCAGACAGCTTAATAACATTCAAGCTAACAGCAGACAGCTTAATAACATTCAAGCTAACAGCAGACAGCTTTAAGTCAGGCTAACACTAGTCAAGCTAACAGCCGCTAACCGCCTCCTGCTGAAAACAACACAAACCTCCCACTGTTCCAGGAGCCGAGCCATATCTGCGTCATTGTAGTCTCTGATGTCCTTCTTCTTCTTCGGTTTTTCTTTATCTGCTAATAAAACAGAAATCAAACAGGAGCCCAGGAGCAGCACGAACAGCCTTCGGAAGGCAYCCGCCATCTTTACAGATGTTGCGCTGTGATTGGCTGAAGGAGAATGGATCATGAGGGGACTGAACGTGAACACGTCAGTGACGTAATGACGCTCACTACAGACAGGAGAACAAAAGGCATGACCGTTTCAAAATAAAGGCTGAAATCAATCATTTCAAATCCACTTGTTTGTGTGCTACAGCGGCCGTGGTGTTAACTAGACTCTAAAAAAGTGCATTTTATTATTATTATTATTATCATTATTATTATTATTTTATTAATTTTTTTATTATCATCATATTTTGGTTATTGTCTTAATATAATTTGTTGTGTGTCTGTTTTTACACTGCTTTATATTAATCTGATTTGTTCGGGGTTCTGAGGGACCGGTCCATTTTGAACGGTTCTGTAAACTTTACCTGAACCTGAACCTGTTCTGATAAAAACCTGAAGCAGGTCCATCTGAACAGTCTGTGATCAGCTGGGATTTTATTTTGAAACGCCCAGCTTCCGGTCTTGTTAGCATGCTAGGCTAACGTTTCATGTGACGCTACAGCGGGTCTCATTCCGGAGCGGCAGCTCGTCTCCCTGAAGGTTGGAGCGGTTCTGTTCCGGATCAGTTCGGCCGGTTTGGACCGGTTGGTGTGAAACCTCCGCCGGTAACAGTGGACCGGAACCGCAGGTTTCCCGCAGTTCTGCCCGGTTCGGCGGACCACACCCTCCCTGCTTCCTGACCTGTGGATCCACATGAGCTGGACTGCTTCACAGGTCATCCAACGAACGGCTGACATGGAACCGACAGCGGATCCCGGTCCATCTGCGGTTCCGAGCTGAGCTGCAGAGCAGGAGGACCGGCGGACCATGAAGCTGCCGAACCCCGGGTTCCGTCTCAGAAGGAAGAGGTTAAAAACGGACTGAACCGGTTCCTCGCAGGATTTCACTCATGAATAATGGTGCTGGAAGGGAACCAGAACCAGAACCAGAACCAGCCGGATGGTGWTGTGAGCATGAGTCCAGCAGGTCAGAGGTCAGAGTCAGTGAGAACCAGAACATCTCGGTCCAGTTTCAGGCCCCTGCTGATGAAAAACTGATCGAACCGTGTGATCCACCTGGACATGTGTGCTTGGTTCCTGTCAGGACTCTGGACTTTGTCTTGTCTTAGAACCTGCTGGTTCTGCACAGGTCTCAGACCCGGGTCTGTTGATCTTCAGGGCATTTACAAGTTCATGAAACCAGCTGACCCAGGTCTGACCCAGGTCTGACCCAGGTCTGACCCGGGATTCTATCTCTAAATAATGTAAAAACTTTATTTATAAGATCCTTAAGAACAGAGCAGCAACTGAGTTCTCCTTATGTTTACATTTAGTGCATTGTTTCCTGTTTACTTCCTGTTTGTTTGACTGCTTCCTGTTTGTTACCTGTTTACTTCCTGTTTGTTTGACTGCTTCCTGTTTGTTACCTGTTTACTTCCTGTTTGACTGCTTCCTGTTTGCTTCCTGTTTGTTACCTGTTTATTTCCTGTTTGTTTGACTGCTTCCTGTTTGTTACCTGTTTACTTCCTGTTTGACTGCTTCCTGTTTGCTTCCTGTTTGTTACCTGTTTATTTCCTGTTTGTTTGACTGCTTCCTGTTTGTTACCTGTTTACTTCCTGTTTGTTTGACTGCTTCCTGTTTGTTACCTGTTTACTTCCTGTTTGTTTGACTGCTTCCTGTTTGTTACCTGTTTACTTCCTGTTTGACTGCTTCCTGTTTGCTTCCTGTTTGTTACCTGTTTATTTCCTGTGTGTTACCTGTTTATTTCCTGTTTGCTTCCTGTTTATTTCCTGTTTACTTCCTGTTTACTTCCTGTTAGGCCCCCACGTACAGATAAGTGATATCTGAAGAGTTGTGTTCATAAAGTTGGGCCGGTCAGGCAGCAGGATGCAGTGGGCAGCCTCAGCACCAGCCAGATAATCCGGACCCTCTGGACCCTCTGGACCGTCTAACTGGACCGCTGTCAGAACCATGGCGAGCGGAGGTTCTGGGACGTGGTGCACTGAAGGATGGGGCGGGCCGGTCAGCAGCAGCGTGCAGCAGAGGAAGAGACTGTCGTCCATCTGTGACAGCTGTAAGGCCAAGGTGCAGCTGGTGGCCGACCTGCTGCTGCTGTCCAGCGACACCAGACCGGTCCTGAGCTTCGAAGGTGCGGTCCTGGCCGACACCTTTGACCAGTGCCGCGACACGGTCATCGCTCGGACCAAAGAGCTCTCCATCCTGACCCACGACATCCAGAGCCAGCTCAACATGGGCCGTTTCAGCGAGGTGGGGGACCGCCTGCTGGAGATGGCGGACCTGGTGGTCTCTCTTACCGAATGCTCGGCCCACGCCGCCTACCTGGCCGCCGTGGAGAGCCCGGGCTCTCAGCCCTGTCTGCCGGGCCTGGTGGACCGCTACAAGGTGACCCGCTGCCGGCACGAGGTGGAGCAGAACTGCGCCGTCCTGCGAGCGTCGCCTCTGCCGGACCTGACCCCCCAGCTGCTCCTGGAGCTGTCCCAGAACATCTCCACCAGCCTGAAGACCCTGTCGGACGTGTCGCTGCTGGCCAGCGACGGCTCCAGGGACCGCTTCGCCAAGGAGCAGTTCAAGCTGAGCGTGAAGAGCATCAGCACCTGCGGGACCGCCTTCCTGGCCTGTGTCAGGGAGGTGAAGACCCAGCCCAGCGACCTGACCCGGACCCGCTGCGTCCTCTTCAGCGCCGCCCTGGTCCAGGCCGTCAGCGCCCTGGTGGGCTTCGCCACAGAGCCTCAGTTCCTGGGCAGACCTGCCAGTGTCTCCCCTGAGGGGAAGGGGGTCCAGACTGCGGTTCTGGGCGGAGCCATGAGCGTGGTGTCGGCCTGCGTCCTCCTGACCCAGGGTCTCAGAGACGTGGCCCAGCACCCCGACAGCAGCTCCAAGATGGCCGAGTACCGCGAGCGCCTGAGGAACTCTGCGTGTGCGCTGTCTGACGGCTGCACCCTGCTGACCCAGGCTCTCAGGGAGCGCTCGTCCCCCCGGACCCTGCCCCCGGTCAACTCTGTCTCCTAGTCCTGGACCCGCAGGGCTCCTGCGACCCACCAGACACAGCAGAACTGTTGGACTGCAGCGGGTCTCTGGAACRGGCTCTGCAGGCCTCTGAGTCGTGCTGGATGCGACCCAGACCCTGGAAGAAGCGAGGACTCAYACACTGGTGGTCCTGGTGGTCCTGATCCGGAGTCAGCAGCAGTTTTATTGGAGTTCTGTTAAAGGATTCTTTTATTTTCACTAAGTGTTAAAGCTGCTGTGTGTGTGTGTGTGTGTGTGTGTGTGTGTGTGTGTGTGTGTGTGTGTGTGTGTGTGTGTGTGTGTGTG